GAGTTAAAGAAACGACTCGAGTTGCCGCTTAGTTGCTGTCTCATTTGCATACGTTTGGTTATTTGTTTAGAAACTCTTTAAGCAGCAGCAAAATAAAAGCTAGAAAATAGAAATTTATGGGCTCTGCGTTGGATAGTTGTTGAGCATTTGGAATGAAAGCGAAAACGGCTTCGATATGAGCAATTTTTTTGGTGGATTTCTTTGGGAGTGGCCCAAGAAAAGGGCGTTTGCACGTAGAAGGCGACAGTCTGTATACGTGAGCAACCGATGATAATAACTCTTGAAAAGTCGGTAACTCCGTCGTCACTTCTCACTTAATTTGAGTCCGCCGAAGACAATGGAAAAGCGATGCCTTATTAGAATGCGTGAGAAAGCCACTGTGAGAAACTGGAACCCGATTGTGTGCGTGGCGTTATTAGTCTTTACGCCATGCCCTCATTAAATGGCTGTGAAAGACGCGGCGGCGGTGCCGGCAGAACTGACCCAGAGATTTCTATCCCCTTTTATCACCTTCAACTCGGAGAGCTCTCGGCGCCGACTTGGTGAAATTTTTGGGTCATCCATTGGGTATTATGATCACGTAGGTGAGCCCCGACGTCGTCGTCATCGTCGTAGTCGTCGAGAAATCGCATTGTTCTGCAAAAGACACATCCTGCAATGTGCGTGATCCGATTGGCCTGCACCTGCATAATTCCCCCAGTTCGCTGTTCCGTTTGCTTCTGGTTTTATTTATTACTATTTTTTTTCCTATATACATATATATTTATATATGTAGCGCCACGCCGCATTCCGCCTGCTCCCAATTCGCTTTGGTCCCGCGCGCCGCTGGCAAGGCTAAAACTATAACAAATACGCACAGTTGGGGTCCGAAATAAGACAAATTTGACGGCTGCATCACTCGAAGTCACTCGACATCGTGTTCGGATATTTCTGAATGGGAATGGGAGCAGTGCTAGAATCTCCGCTGGTATTTCGCCCTAAGGTCTCGTTGAAGAGCCCACTGATTATGCCGTACATGATGTACTACAACCAAAGCGAACTCGAAGCGGGGCATCAGCATATGAGTTTTGTTATATTTGTATCTAAAAATAGTTGGGCCACGCTGGTGACACGGGGCGCTCTACAGGGTGTTGAATATAGATCATAACACGATAAAGAAAGAAAAACAAAACAAACTGGGAGATGCTCTAGTATGAATTGTATTTTTATGCGACTGCAGGGTATTATAAATTCGGCCACAAAATTTTAAAACAATTTTAAAAGGGGTTAAATCAATAAAATTGTCAACTTGTCAAATTTCAATAAGCCGATTTATTATCTTATAATAAGTAATGCAGGTAACTCTTCTGTCCGTTGGTCTGTCCTTTGGTCTGTCCTTTGGTCTGTCCGTTGGTCTGTCCGTTGGTTTGTCCGTTGGTCTGTTTTTTTTCCTGTCCGTTCTTCTGTCCGTTCATCTGTCCTTTCAATTGTTCGTTCTTCTGTCCCAAATCCCAAATACGTCAAAAATATGATTTTATGCTTTAATTATTTATTTTAAATTTCTATAAAGAATTCTTATATAAAACATTCTACAAGTTTCCTACGATTACCATCTTCACTATGATTAATTACTCAGTTTCGTTTATATCTTAATTCCCCCTGATGACATCTAAAAGTCGTTGAACTCTTTGGAAAGATGACAAAACTCTATTTTCAAAATGAATTGGTCTATTTTTGACTTCCGGCTGCACCCTGTTTGTCATCTTATTTTTTTTTTATTAAATCAATTTGCTCATTTCTTATATATTTATTTTTATTTTTGTCTCGATTTCGCTTGATTTTCTCACTCTCCTGAACAGTACTACGAGCATTATTTGCTCTCACCTCGCGTGGCTTTCGTATCTTGGGGATTTCTCTGTTTTGTTGTTTTGTGTCGGTGGCGGCGGATTTCGGATTCGGATTCGGATGCGAACGTGGCCGAAAGTGGCAGCGTTTAGTCTTTAGTTGCACGCGAATTTCTGGGCGCTACGAGCAGAGAGTTCGCAGCGAATTAAAGGAAAAAAAAAAAAACAGAAACAATTTCGAGGCGGAGCGGAACTAGGAAATCCAGATTATATGTTCATTTCTCCAATACTGTTTGTACAAATCGTGATTTGTGAGTACGCGCTGAAGGCCCTGGGCCCTTTAAATGACACTGTTTACGCAGCTGTGTGAATTCTTCAGATAAAAACAAAAAAAAATGACAGATTGGCAGTCAAAATTAGTCATGCTGCAAATAGCAAAATATAGCAAATAGCTGAAATAATAATAATATCTCTGCCGCTGCCATGCTTCGCAAGAGCAAAATATATTCGTGTTGATTTGTGTATTGTCTAAAAAAAATGTTGCCGCAGTGTTTTTCCAATGTGTTACTACTTCACAACATCAGCTATTTGAAAAGTAAAAGCCTGCGGAATACGTACGTTAAAATAATATACATGTGTTTTCCCTAACGGACATGTGAGACATTTCGAATAAACCCATCATTTGCGTTTGTATAAAATCATTCTCTCGTTGACCTCTAGCCTTGCCCCGCAGAACCCCACAGAATATTATTTATGGCTTAAATGTGTGTTCGGGACGTAGTCTCATGACGTAATATATCAGTTCTTGCCAAAAATCAAATCAATTTTGTGATAATGATCAGTTCCTGGTAAGCATGCTTTCTTTACTAATACATACTCTGGGTTTCCAAGTATTCAATTTTGCATCGTTCAGTTGGGAATATATATGCAGATAGTACTGTGTGCTTGATCACTTGTTGACTGATTGAGTTAATTGATATATATTCAAAATTGTTTGGCATGTGGGCTGAAAGCAGCTGAAAGGTGTTGACTGCAGATGTTGGCTATAGATCGGCGGCCTGCCCTTTTGATTTCAATATAATTATAGAACCAGAGCGGAGACTTTGAAATGCAAAATAACTTTTTATAAATAAAAGCAAGAGCAACAGGTGGATTGCATCATTGTGTTGAGATATACTAAGGAAGTTAAGTCAACTTTAGAATTAGTTTATAGTTAAATAGTTTATAGTTCTTAAATAAATACAAGAGTATACATTTCTTAGTAAGGGTTTCCTCTAAACCCGCTAATACTGGACAGACAATCAGCCAACTCACTTCGCCATTATGACCTTAATGCCAGCTGCATACTATGTTACATCCATTAGGAATAAATGTTGGTTACAAAGTAAATTACCTCCTGCATTTGACCATGTTTCGTGTGACTGACTGTTTGACTGGCTACTGGCCTTTGATGCAACTCAGTGTTTAGCAAATTTTTGAACTCGTTTGTTAGCATTCTAAAAGCCATAAGTTGATGGCCTTCGTGTCTGGTTTTTCTTTTGCCAACAGAGCTGCTGCCTTGCATTGTGTACATAACCTTATCTTTTTGCATTCTGTCCGAGTTCTCATAAATCTGTATACATTGTACATAAATAGCTCTGTCTGAGTTTGAGATTAAAATGTCAGTTCGAAGAGTGCGGCTCAGTCAGAATTATTATCTGGATCTAGATCACAGGAGAAAATAGTTGTAAAGACGTTATAATCGTAGTAAGATCTGCTAATGGACTTAATCTTTGATCAAAGAAAATGAAGATAGGCCAAATATTTATATTCTGTGCTTTGGCTTAGCTTTCCACGACTCTCATACGCAGTTACTGATCTGCTTTATGTTCTCGTTCTCCTTGTTTAAACTATAAAAATCAGCTTGTAATATTATTAATCATCACCCTGTTTCATTTTATCTTTTTGTGAGCTTTGCTTTCTTTTTCATTTATGAATAATAAAAATAAAGAGTAAACAGTAACGTATCTTGTATATATAAATTTAAAAAAATGCACTTATCTTATCCACAGTAAAGCTTTATAATTGAACAAGATTATTATAAAGTTGGATAAGAGTTTACTACGAAGCTAAAGATTCCCTAATATCATAAGCAATACCATCTCATTTGTTAAAGTTTTAATCAATAATATTTATTCTCTGATTCTGTCTGGGTTTCAAAATAAATTTAAAAAAAAGGAAAGATACAATTTTAGAGATACCTTGCAGCTTATGTCATTAGTTTATCAAAACGCCACCAATAAATCACCTAAAATCATAAATATATATAGCTATACCTTGTTTTATGCCTAACCCACATCTGATAATAGTAAAACCCATGCTGAATATAGCTTTCCACCTCATCCTGTGTTCCGTGTTCCGTGTTCTTTGTTCTGTCGTTGCTGTTGCCGTTGTCCTGTTGTCCTGTTGTCCTGTCTTCCTTCTTTGAGACTATGGAAAAGCCAAGAATTCTGTTCAAAATCGTTCAATGATTGTTGGAAGTTCTAAAGATTCCCACATCTCTTCTCCCAAAACGAACACCTTGCAGCTAATGTCATAAGTCGTTTGAAGGGCCAGCTAAGAAAGTCCCCGAAAATGTCCGAGGACCTGGACGAGCTCTTCCTGTCACCCATACCGGCACCCACGGCGGTTGAGCTGCAGCAGTGCATCCTGTTCGGGTTCCGTCGCCGCCTCTATCCGGCCCAGATACTGGAGGAGTGTCGCAGTGCCTTCGGGCCGTTCTCGCCGAGTGCCCAGTATGTGGCCAAGTGGTATCAGCGCTTCCAAGATGGCCTGTTCAACATTGAGGAGCGGGAAGAGGACGAGGATCTGATACGGATGAGGGGCGAGACTCCGACCACGTGCAGTGACTACGAGGATGATATGGATTTCGGGGAGGCGGCGACGACTGTGTTACCCTTGGTTCTGAACGACCTTGACCCTAAGGATGATTCCGATGATAATAATAATAGTGATGAGGATTTTGATAAGGAGAGTGACGATGGGCTTGACGGTCATGTGATTGGTTATTGGCAAGGTTATGGCTATTTGGGTGGCAAGCAAAGGTATAGTTGGGGTGCACATAAATTGTATGTATTGTATTCTGTTATATATATTTCCCCGACTAACTCGAACTTTGGTTTCCTCTTCTCCTTGCAGTGGAACCTTGGCCTGCGAGCTGCCACCCCTGCCCAAGTCTCTGATTGGCTTCAATAAACTACTGTGCTCCGATTCCGGCCTGCTCAGCGATGTGGAGGGAAGCAATAACAATAACAGCGAGATCAGCCAAAAAGAAAGCGATTATCAGGCGGATAACGTTCAGGACAGCAACGAGAATACCATCGGCGGTGGTAGTGGTGGTGGGTCGGTGCCCGGTGCCTCTCCGAACGGAAATAGAGCAATTCCATCAAGAGAAACGGATCCCAAATCCCCCAGCTTATCCACCAAAGGAAACCCCCAGGCGGCCATCGAGGCGGGCAGCACTCTGGACGCACAAATCGCGACGCTGCGGAAGGAAATGGTAAGATCTCAAATAACAATTTTAATTTTAAACCCGGGACTTGTTTCGGTTGAATTTACGAGGGGAGATAATGTATAACCAAGATTAATGCTGGCTTGAATGCAGAGGTGTTCATATGGCAAATTATATTATTAAATAATAGGTTGATAAATAGGAGAAAGGTTTACTACTATTTGAATAATGAAATATTATGAGCTACATCTAATGCTTCTCACAAATTATCATTTATTACTTAATCAGGTTAAATTAATTAATATTGGTCAATGAAACCCAAAGAGCTTACAAGACATTAAAAATTAAATGCAGAAGAGCTTGCCGGTCGTAAATAATTAGGTAATAAAACAAGAGAAAGGTTTATTAAAACTAAAATAAAGTGTATTATAATCGGAAAAACGTTAGAAAGGTTGTACTAACTTTTAACTTATTACCAATAGGATTAATAATAGTTATTAAAGCCTAAATAATTGTGTTTATTTTGGGAGTATATAAATGAGTGATGTTTTATATTTATAAAGATTCTCTTCCCTATCACTTTTTAGTCAAGCAGAATTAGGTGTGTTTTAAGATAAAATCTTTTGGAATTATCCGTGAGTCAGTTTCAAAATAAAATATTTAAAAAATTGGCATTCGAAACAAAAGAATTTAAACCAGTTCGCTGACGTAAAAAGTTATTTTTATTTGTCAGAGTATGTTGTCATTCCCCCGAATAAAAAGTCACACTTCTCACCGCTGCATTTGGAGGTGAGGTGAACTTTATTGACCTGGTTTAGTACATAGTTTGTTGTAGTTCAACAGCCTGCGGTAAATCCGGCAAAAATGAAACTGAGCAAAGTCTGAGTTGGCCAAACCTTTCACATTTAATTCTGCTGGCTGGCAGGCAACCTATAGTATTATGTGGCCATAAGAACCTGTTTAATACTCGATCGGGCGTAGGTGTAAATGCGCCAGTAAGCCTTGGTTTAGGAGCGGCCGCTTGCCGTATTGTCTCGATCTCGAAAATAAAATCAAAAGCAAGTCTTCTGGATATATACATACATATATGTATATATTGGTACATAAATGCCGCCTTTTTCGTGCTGCTCCGATTTAGATGTCGATTTGGTGGCGGCACTGAACAATTGGAAATAAACACTAAATTGTGCACCATTTAGGCCATTTTGTGCAATTTGCATGTCTGCTGTTGTGCAATATAGTATATGTACATGAGTCTGGGACTGGGTCGAGTTTTTTTGGGGGCTGAAATCGAGACACATTTTCGTGCCATTATTATTTTCTGTGTTTTAACAAATATTTTACATTAGCTGGCCGCACTTCTGGTCTGGCTTACACCAGTCTTGGCTATGTGTTAAATGCGATTTTACAACCTTTCGAGAGAGCGCCAACGCAAGCCCAATGACACTTTAATTGGTCATTGTATTTACCCAACCATTTATTACTGTGTGTTATTTCTGCGAGGCATTTAAATTTATTCGTTGCCACAATGGCGCGGGCCTGGCTTTGTTTATCTAACTATCCAACCGGGCTTCAACCATTTGCTGGCCAAGTTGGGTGCAAACTTGTTGAAATCGTCAGAAACGATCAAAATATCAAGTTGCCTGCTCTTCTGGATCCATAGAAAAACTTTGTTTCTTTATTGACTTATAATTAAATCAATAGGAAGTGTATTTTTTATTTGCTTGGGTATTATTTTGTTTGGTCTATCTTTATGCGTTTTAAAAACTTTAGTATCTTGATCAAATACAACTAAATAAACAGAAAAGAGGTGTTTATTGACTTTACAAATAAGTATTTTGGTCTTCGCCCACACTAGGGAACTTGTGTATAAATATATATCAATAGCAAAAGATTTTTATTTATTTCCTTAAATTATAAGTCTATATTTAGAGTGTCTGGCTATTGACCGCTCTTGATGTGTTTCTTGATCAGATATAAACTATATTCATGACAAAAGATTTTAATTTACTTGTTTATTTTTTATATTTGACATAGAGTGTACGTTTATTGACCTCTCTTCACAGGTTTTTTAATCAGATTTAGATTTACCAATAGGAAAAGATTTATTATCGTTTATAAAAAATCAGGGAAGTTATATTTATTTTATTTATTTAAGATTTTCTTTAATTATGTGAACTATTATATTATTGTTTCTTTATCACATTAATGGAATTTTAAACAAAACTAGCCTGCCAATTAAATAGAAATCATTTTAATTGCTTTAGAATTAAGATACTTGGTTTGTTTTTATTAATTATAAATTAGTCGGAAATCATTGTATGATTTTAAATAGGTAATTTTTGTGGTAGAATATAGACTTGTTCGGCTAGGTTTAAATAACGTGTTAAATTACTATGTTAGGTTTAATTAACAAATGGAGTTTATTCATTTAATATGTCCCTTTTATTTATTTTTTAACTCATTGAAACCCATTGTGAGAGTATCTGTGTGGTGACCCATATGAACCCGTAGCTCTTTTCTCGGTTTTCGCAAATGTTTCGGTCGGTTGATTAACGATTCGGGCTCTGATCGCTCGCTCGGTGGGTGTGTAAGCCGGTAAGTATGGGTCCGGTGCGGTGTGTGTGAATGTGTTTTGCAATTATGTTAGTTGGCCGCTTTTGAGTTTGATTTTTAGCTGGCCAATGGTTTTGCTTTTGCTCTTGCTTTTGCTTTCGAATGCCGAACCTGGGCTAAGATCGACTGGTTAGCCTTCTTGGTGAACCCGCGATATTGATATGCATTGTTCACTCACGTCTCCATTTGATATAAAGCCGCTTTTACTTGGGTAATTTTGAACAGAAATCGAAAGTAAATATTTGCCGAAGGTCAGTGAGGTAGTTTGTTGTGTCGTTATTAGATCAGCTTTCAATGAACAGTGCCAGCTGTAATGCGATTATACATTATATTTGGGTCCTTTGTATGTACATATATATTTAACAATTAAATAAAGTGCAGAACTCTCGAACTTATAAATTTATCTTAAGGGAGCCAGAAAAATAGCCAAAGATTTTTGTTAATTTTTCAGAGTGAGTGTGGCAAGCAAAAGACACATTTGTCGGCATAAACTGAGGAGCTCATAAAGCGGTACTATCCCAAAATGATGATTATTATTATTGTTATTAACTTCATTGGCCAAAGCAATTTTTTTTTTGTTCACCACTCAAAGTGCAGAACTCAGAACTAGCCGGATGGATACCATACCTTTTGCCTGATTCCCTCCGAATTAATAGATGATTGTCAAGTCAAATTACGCTCAATTGTTAAAGCCGTTCCCATCGCCATCACACCGGCACTGGCACCAACTCTAATGTGCACAACGATGAAAATGAAGTAATAAACTTGGTTAATGCAACACAACGCATCGGGGAGAAATAAAAAGCTAAAAAGCACACGGAGCCCACAATGGGAGAAAACAGGAGTAAGACTAATCAGCGCATGCGCAGCCATTAAGCCAAGCAAGCTGGCAAGCATGCACTCGAAAAAAATATTATAAAAAATCTGAGAATTGTGTCTTGATTCCTGGTAGGATTTATACATTCTGGAAATGATTTTCCAACAGTTAAACCTATTTTTTAAATTTATTTTCTTAAGAATAAATAGGTTCTAAAAATACAATTAGAAAGAAGCAGTTTAATAACAGCTTAAAATGTTATTAAGGAATTTATTTTCCCAAGAAATATTAAAACTAAGAATGTTTTGAGAATTTGTCCAATTAAATTATTCACAAATAATTTTCTAAAAATAAAATCAAATATAAATATTATTGAGAACTTTTAAAAATTATGTTTGAACAGTTAAACTGTTTTTTAAATATAATTCTTTTAGTAAAAACAAGTGAATACTTTGATTGTTGTACAAGTTTTCACTTTAATTCTTAAAAAATAATGTTCTAAATTGAAATTAAAATTTAAAGCGATGAAAAACCTCTGTTATAGACCACCTTCAAAAAATTCTATCAAATGTAAACCCCGAATTAACCGCCAGTGTAACAAGCTGGCAAGTAAGCGGGCAACAAAGCAACAAAGCGAGTCCGCTTCAGCTAATTTATGTTGGCCGCTTTGTTGTTGTTTCTGCCGGGTTTGCCAGATACCTCGGTTATGGCAGCAAATTAAATTTATGAACAACAGAAAAGGAGGCAGCCAAAGTAACTTAACTAAAGAGCCCGAGCTCGAGCTTGAAAGCCAGCGGATAGCCGCTGTTGTTGGTGAGAAGAAATGCATCAATGCATGAAATGGAGTTTTACGGCTTACATAAAATGGCCTTGAACGCCCGCATTCTTTCACCGCTTGGCTCTGAGATCCCAAGATCTCTATCTTGGCCGGACGGGCGAAGAGATACGAAAGACGACCCCGTTCGTGGCTAATCGCTTCTCACCTGTTCCACTTTATTTGGCACATGCGAACCTAGTCTGGGCTTAGTTAATCTTAATCAGACCGCGAACACGACACGCCAACCTCTTGGCTCTTGGGTTATAAAAAAAATATAAAAAAAGAAGAAATAAAAACAATAACACCGACGTTCTGCAATAAATCCATTGCCTCATTTGCCCAACTTTGGGGTTAATTAAATTTTAATTGGTAAATAAAAGGGTTTAATGAGAAACGTCAAGGGTTTCTATTCTGCAATATAAGCATTATATATTATTAGAATTTTATTAGATATATTTATACCTAATTTCCACAAATTATAAACTTATGTAGAACTATAAACAAAGTATATTAAATAATATAATATATTAAATTATATTTGATTGATTTCTACACATTAGCATTAAATGTCTGATTTTTGTTGTTCTTTCCCCAAGTTGTAATTGCTTAAATTCCTTTCTTTTCCCGTTCCCATTTCCCATTTCCTGATCTTCCGCATGGTTTTCTGCAAAAGGTGCCGCCATTTGGTCGCAGAGTTCACGCATCAGCGCAGAAATGTTTGATGCAAGCTGAAAGGCTTCCCGAATGGCTAAAGATAGAACGCGCCACTATTTACCACAGATCTTGGGCAGATCCAAATATACACACATACATATACATATGTATATATCTGTAGGTAAATGTATGTATATAAAGTTGTTGGGCAGAGGCAGAGGCAGCCTTGTCTGGCATTTGCAGCGTTCATTGCCATTTGGCGCTGTTGCATTTAAGAAATACTTTTAGGGCTTCTGCTTGCGCCAAAGTCTTCCATCACGACACGGGGCACATAAAAAAAAAAAAAAAAAAATAAAAGAAAAAAAATACCACGTAATATAAGCACTGGGATGGAACAGCCCTAAGCAATTTTAGTGCAATGAGCTTAGGGCTAATTGAGTTTTGAAACTAATTGTATTGATTTGACAGCACGAAAGGGGGAAGAATAATATCAAAGCTTGAAGAACTCTATGAAAAATAAACAAAACTATAAGATAAAGATAAAATATTATGGTAATTTACCCTACAATTTACTATGCTAATTATTTGAGTAATCCCGCTTATGGCCAAGACTACTCATTACCTTAAAAGTTGACCCACTTTTTTTCATCGCCTGCTCTGTAATTTCTGGTCAAGTCACCTAATGTCATTAGTGCAATTTACAATTTCTATTTAGATCAATTGTACTGCCCACAGATAACCCTGCAAGTATGCTAATTCGCGACTAATTCACATTCGATCCAAGCCCAAGGTGACGCCCCCGCGAAAAGTGGCTAAAAAGGTTTTAATCACCTACAAACTGGCACACTTTACATGGCTCACAGATGAAAACAACAACTAATAGACAAAGAAAAATAGTAAAACTAGTAAAAAAAAGTAAGAAGATGAAAAGAGAAAAGTGCAGATAGGCAGTTTTTATTGGAGAACACGCAAATACATTTCCTCATTGGTTGGAAAGCTTATGAAAGGCGGAAAAATCTGGGATGCATTGAAGGAAAAACCACTAATGGAAAAATACTTATTCTGTCCGGTAGTAGAAGGGAAATTGAGTTCTGTGGTTTTTTTTTAACACACCAAAGTTCACAAATATAAAGAGAAATCATAATGATACTCTTCAGTGAAATGCTTTATTATATTTTTATTTTATTTTATTTATACTTTGATTAATTAAAATAAGTATTAATTAATCAGGAATGCCTCAAAGACCTAATATTAAAATATTTATAAAACCAAACCCATTTCTTCATTTCAAACCCAAATATTATTATTAATTATCGCGTGTCTTTTCCCATTTAAATATCAACTTGTAATGCCATGAATTTAAATATTTTTCATGCTGCCTTTGTTTAATTTAAAGCATGGCAATTTCTTTAATTTATTTTCTAATCTCCGGTCTCCCCCATTGAGTGCTGAATACTGAGTGCTGAATATACATTAGCAGCCAGGTGGGAGTTGGCTGGAGCGAGACGCCGACTTGAGCGGATTTGGATTTTAGTGCCACAAAAAACGATGCAACTGCATCTCGACTGCTGGCAGAAAGTTTTCTTCGTTGATTTTCTTTTTTTAGTGTTTTTTTTCGCGCGATATTATGCTGAGATATTAATTGACAAATGAGATTTTTCCTTCCTACTCGACAGCGACAGGCGAACTTTCATTTTGACCACAAGCGTTGTGCCGGCATAAATACAGGCCAAGGCTATAAGAGGACATTAGTATATCGGGATTATTCATGGCTAGCCAGGCGATACTGTTACTGATAAGAATATATATTAATCTTTAGAGTGCAATATAAATATTGCATATATAGTAGATGAGTGAGATAGATAGCTGAGGGAATAATACAAGGGAAATAGTAGTTAGTTTTATTATATATTTTATATATTTTTGTATAATATATTTTTTATTTAATCTCATATACTAATTCTCTAATTTTCCCTTCCAGAACGGTCTGCGTCAATTAGATCTCTCGTTGTTGTCACAACTCTGGGTGCTTAACGAATCGATCCAGGAGTTCCGTGCCCTGATCGAGGAACAGGAAAATGAAGACGAGGACGACGAGTTGGATAACAACCCCAATGACATTGACGAAGAGGGCAATATTAGGATCTCCTCATCGGTGGAATCGATGCAATACGAGGGCGGTGCTGCGGATGCCAGGGCCAAGCACCTGGGAACCAAGCCAAAGGTCATTACCATACAGCCCAAGGTGGGGCGGCAGGATCAGAAGCCAGTGCCCAGGATGCGCAGTGCACCACCACCCCCGCCACCCGTTGTCCTGACTACCGTTGAGCGAAAGCCACCGGCTCCCTCGCGACCCACATGATGCTACCTCTCCGACTTCCTTGCCGGAGTCAGGATGGTCATGTGCAAGGCGATCGTGGGCGATGTGCCGCCCTCGGCCACCACTCAGACGTCGTCGTCGTCCCTCCGCGGAGACGGATCCCCATTCGTCATGGACCAGGGCAGCAGTTTGGGCAATCACAGCGGTGGCTTGCTCCAGGCTTAGTTTTTAGTTTGATTAAGCGATAAATAATACGGGCCTACGAAAATCGTTTGTTTTGCCGCAAGACTAAAGTCGAGGATTGTAAAAAAAAGTCATTTGTAGATTGCTAATAGGGTTTAAAGTGGTTAAAGTATCCTAACATCGACTTTATGGTGCTTTTTAAAGACTGATAAAAACACATAGAACTTGAAACTTAAAGAGAATGAAATGTAAAGCAGAAAATTATGAATAAAAGAATTTGGACAATGTTTACTAGTTTTTAAAGTTTAAATTTCAAGGACTTGTTATTCTTGGTCTTTGAAAAGCTCTATTAAAGTCGCATTTAAATACTTTAACCATATTTTTTTCTTTACCTTCTACTTTTAAAATTTTCTTTAAAAAATCTGGCATAAACCCTTTAGTCTTGCGAGCCTTTTATCGACTTTGTAGTAAGATGTAGCATATGAGCGATTTACGAGCGAACTGATCTTTATTCGGGTTCCTTAGAGGCCCCTAGGGAACTAGAGCTACTCGAATGGTGTTTAGATCCTGACAAGCCTTACTTTATATATGTGACGAAGCCTAAATTATCTGCTGCTTACCTCAATATAGGAAGAGAGACCGACCCAACATAATGTAATTGGTAGAATTTGTAATACCAAACCTCTAGGCTCTAGTATGATGGTTAGGAGTCCTTTGTGATCTTCAGTTGTAAGTTAATTGTACATTTATAACCTGGGCTTGATGGGTTCCCTTTCCCGTTCCCCTTCCCTCCAAATATATTTTTGTTTTTTTGTTTAATTAAAAAATAGCCTACTCAATAAGCTAAGCTGTCATATAATGTATGTCTTTGATCGAATTTGATCCATGCATTTGACCAGTAACATTTGTATATACCAATTTTCCTGGCTAGCTGCTGAATATATTTTGTAATTCTAACGATGAAATGCATTAAAAATAATAAAAATTGAAGAAAGCATGGTGTATTTTAGATGCCAGATTACCTGGAAGCTAAGAGGTAAGAGATATTTTAATGTTGCCAAAGATACTTGTATTATATTGATATTATAAAAGATAAAATTCATATTTTTGCACATCAATTATATATATTAAATTGGTAGTTAAATTGTAGTCCTCACACCAGGTTCACACCGTCCAATCCGACTTGGACACACGGAAAGTTGTAAGTCATTATATCGTTGGTGTTAAAGGATGCATAGACATTGGGACAGATCTTGGCCCCGGAAATGGAAATCGAGAATTTCAGCTTGATGCACATGTTGAGGCCCGTCATGGATATCAAGGGCAGGCAGACTGTGGGCGGCTTATTGACATCCAGGTTGAACTTTCCCACTGAAGCTCCATCTAGGGTAGCAGTCAGGTCCACTGTTCCGCCCAGCAAACTCCCCTTGATAGTCAGGCAAACTGTAAATGGGAATCACATGTAGTAATTAATCTTATTTATATAACAAATTATTGAAATCCTTCGTACGTTTCTTGGTATCATTTAGCATATTCACTGTAACACTCTGGCAGCAACTGTAGGATAACGGCGGGGAGTACTGGCACATGTCGGATGTATCTGAGAGGGATATGAGTCCCAGATCCATGCCAGTTGAATTGGAAGCTGCTTGAATGGTCGTTATATATCCAAATGCCACCATTAAGGCCGCAAGTCCCAGCAGGATTGTTTGGTGATTTTGTTTCAGCATGGTGAGGCCTCTCTTAGCTGCTGGAATATGGCTCAAAGACTGATCAACGGCTATGGCGGCTCACACTTTTTGTCAACGAAACGTGCCAAGTCATTACTTAAATATTAATTGCTGCCAATATAATTTTTAGCAAATTTAATTAGCTTACCGTAAGGGTCATTTAATACTGAATATCTGGTTGTTTTAGGGCATTAAGTGTAGGTGACAAAGTCGAAAAACTATGTATTTATTATAATATAGAGCATTTGCAATGTGAAGGTTTAATATTTAAAGTTATTTTTATATTATATTTATAATTGGTACAGCGATGCTAAAGAATACGTGAAAAATATTTTTTTTTTAATTACTTATTTTTTAACTCTTTTGTTTATTATTTAGTCTATGGCTAGAAAGATTCGCTTGTTTTATGCCGATCAAGAATATATATAATTTAAAGGGTCGCAAATGACTCCTGCATTGAATCATAATACCCTTCAAGAGGACCGGAAATATTTGAATGTATTAAATGGATAAATATCAAAAAAATTTTATGATAATATGATAGTCATATAAAAGTTTAAGATAAACCTTCATTGCCTCTTATAATACCCTGCAAAAGTATAATAAACCAATTTTACGTAGCTTACATTTTTTCACACTAATTCTACATATGTACATTCAGGTGGCGCTTCTTTTCTACATCCTACCACTCAGCTTTTTGTCATTCTCTAATGTAAAGTCAAAAATTTCACTATTAAAAAATAAATCTTTTAAATAATTTACAAAAAATTATAATAGTTTTATAAATAATTAAAACTTGTTGAATTTTCTAGAATTTTTGAAAACTTGAAGCAACTTAATTGTTGTAGCTTTTTAAACAGATTTACAATTTTTGTTTTCTAAAAACGTCGTAATATTAATGTTGTCTGGAACATTGCACCTTTAAATTTAATTTCTATAAAACAAACAAAACATTTAAAATTTTGTTCCGATTTTCAGCACTAGAAACATTTACATAACTTGAATTTTTAAATTTAAATCATTCTTCTGGAATGCAAAATTGAGAGCATTTTATAGAAAGTGAAACCAAAATAAACAAGTTCTTGAATATTAACTTTTTTTATTAGCAGTTATATATCACAGGTTTCGTTATAAAGCCAAGGATAACCACATTAATAATTAATGAGTGTATAATACAAAGTGAAAGACTGATTTGTATTCCTGTTCTTCCCAGTCTCGGCTTTTTAATTGGGGACTCAAAAGTTCCGGTTCTCCTTAATTTTGGCTACGACTAGGTAAGAAATTTGGCTTTGGTGCCTGCAGCGCTTTAGTTTATAAATTAGGGTGTGCTTCCCAACAGTTTTAGTGTAGCTTGCTAAATTCAGCGGGAATCAACATGGCTTCAACGAAATTGGTAAGAAATTATTGGTGTTTTCAATAAGAAAAAACACAAATAAATTTATAAACTTCCCTTAATATGTTTATTATATTTTCATTTTACTTGGTATTTATTTTTTTGTAGCTACTCTTCAGTGCCATGTTGGCCATTATGGCCTCCGGGTGCTCAGCTGGTTTCCTGGACTTTATCTTTCCTACGATTATGACGGAATACTACCAGCAGGTGCCCACCAAGGAGGGTTACCGTTTCAAGTGAGTGAAATATAAGCCCTACATGGATTATATTCTTTTATTTTATTTTGCAACTTCAGCCTGGAGGAGCCCAATGGCAGCAAACGCGAGGAGATCGGCGTCATTATGAATCCCGGCACCGATAAAGAGGAACTGGTGGTGATGGGTTCCTACTCCTCGTACGATGATAAGACTGATACCGAGACTATAACCATGTACACAGCCGATAAAAATGGCTACAAGCCACGCTATAAAATTAGGAACCGCAAACTAAATGCCCAGACTCTCAAGACCCTTACGCTTTAAATATAAAGTGATACCTAATGGCTATAGAGAATAGTAATAAAAGGTTAAAGTAAAAAATTCAATGGCTTGTAATTAACGTTTTAATAGTTATGATATATAGAAAGGTCACTGGTAGGCAATATTCCCTATTTTATAATTGTAGGTTAAGCTTGAAAATAATTGTTTAATTTATAAAATGAACTTTATGAATAATTTATACACTTTTGGTTTTGGAAATAGATGTATGTAGTAATATGTAGATGTATACATGGTAAATATTTTGTATGCTACATGAAAATGCACACAACTGAGCTTTTCGTTATTAGCTACGTTAAGATGGCATCACAATTTGTTAACGGTTTGAAAGCTCGAATGTGATAACAGTTGTTATTTATTTAGTAAAGAAAAATAAAATTATCTATATTTATAAAAAGTTTTAAGTATAAGCTATAAAATAAAACAATAAATAAGAATTTGAAACATTTTTATTATTCTGAATAAATTATTCTCTTATTGTCCATTAAGTTTGAAATTGTTTAATTATGAATAAATTATTATTATTAGTACTAATATTGCTAAAAAGCCCTGAAAGCCAATTGTATTACTTTATTTTTTCTTAGTTTAGAGACAGTTTTAAATAGCAAACTCCAACTTTGTGGAAGGTCAGCGACTTTTAATGAACTCTAATTTATTTTGTCATGTGTTAGGATCGTTCAACCTGATGACGACTTGAAGATTAATGGTTGATTTCTTTTTTAACTATTGTGGCTACTATTCAAGTCTATAAATTATCTCGAGTCGGGTGTTTCATCTGGATTTTCCACATTTAAAAAGGATTTGCTTTGAGGCAATGACTAAGTAAGATCAATATGCTGCTTGCTTAATTACAACTAATTACTCATCGTACAATCATGTAAGAACCAAAGAAAAACCTGATTCATGCGGTGAAAAAACCATTGTTTGGAATGAACAACAGCTGGTGGGTAAGGTAGGGGCATCACATTCGAGAGCATCCTATAGAAAGTGAAGCCACAATATGGCCGGCTTAAACTAGTTTTAGCATATTATTTAACGCCATTTTTTTCTAATTTGGCAGCAGACAAAAATATGCAAATATCATTTTGTTTAAATCAATGCTTGCTTTAAACTTTAAAACCAAGGATAACCGGATAATGATTAGAAATGGAATGCAACTAGGCGAGAAACTGTTTTTCGGACACCTGTGAAACTATCCATTGTTCTGTTGCTCATCTGCCGACTCCTGCGCCACACACGATCGGCCGATCTGCCAATGTTTACCAAAATCAAAACATAATGGCTGAAAGGCGTTGGTGGCGTCTTATTCGGCATTTCAAGAGGGACTTCATCTCAGACTCGGCGCGACCGGTTTTACTCAATAGTGGCAGCAACTAAGTAAGAAATATGACTTATCCGCCGTGTGTCTGTGTGCCGGACGAGCTCGGATCTATGCAGATCTTAACTTTTATAAATTAAGGGGCGCGCTTCGGATACTTTAGTATAGCTTGGTAACTCCAGCGCGCATCAACATGGCCTCCTCAACGAAATTGGTAAGTAGTCAGTGTAGGGCGGCACCCGTGTCCGAGAACCTGCGACCCTGCCAATATCGGCGGCATTATAATTACACTGGGATGTGTGAGAAGTGTGTTTGTGATATCTAAATAAAAGCAATTATTGCATGCAAAATATTGATGCAGCTGCTGTTAATGGCCAATCAAGCTTGGCCTTTAATTCGATTGAGTCAAAGTGTTTATATTGCGCAAGCAATCTCAGTTCTTCGCACTTGTTTCGAAAGTCTTATTAATGATTTTTTTCTACTAACGAAAATACAATAAAAACTTCTTAAGTTATGTGGAATTTTATGGATTTTTTTCTAAGTCCGAAGAGTTAATTTCCTTATGTATTTTGCTTTAGTTAAGACTAGTTTACTGTTTGCAGCTTAGATTCTACCTTCATTAACTAGTTTTGTGGGTTAAACCATTAAATTTGTATTGCTTTCATGTTAAACATAATAGGAAGACTTAATTATAATAGTATCTTGAATTTTCTTGAACATTTTTTCTTATTTAAACATTAAAAATTCTTTAAAATATTAAATACATTATTATTATACATTTTGTAAGTTAATAAAGATAACTCACTAAAAAACTAAGTTTAAACTATATTCAAAATATTTATTAAATGGGTGTAACTACTATAAAAATATAGAATTAATAATTTAATGAGTTCACTCTTTTTTAATCAACAATGAACACTAAGAGAAAGGAAAAATATTTAAAATTAATTTTTATATAAACGTTTAATTTATTTAATTTTTATTTATTCCTGTAGCTCCTCTGCACCGCCTTGCTGGCCATCATGGTCGCCAACAGCTCGGCGGGTCTCCTGGACTCCCTCGTGCCCAAAGCCATTACGGACTTCTACAGCGGAGCTTCCAGCCAGGAGGGATACCGCTTCGCGTAGGTGTTAACAACTATTTCTAACAAGGATTAGGTGTAATTCCCAATTCCCTCTTTCCATTGCAGCGTCAATGAGCCCAATGGCAGCTCTCGGGAGGAGGTCGGTATGATCCTGAACCCCGGCACCGATAAGGAGGAGCTGGTGGTGATGGGTATGTACACCGTGTACGATGAGAAGACTGATACCGAGACCACGACCATGTACACCGCCGACAAGGATGGTTACAAGGCGCGTTACCAGACCAAGAACCGCAAGCTGAGCCCCGGAGCCCTGAAGTCCGCTGCCGGATAAGGGGAATCCAGCTGCCTTTCAGTTGTAAATAGAAGAATAATAAAAATGAGAAAGAAAAATAAGCATAGTTTTAATCGCTGAGCTACTGAAACTGGTTGGCATCTGCCTAGGAATTCCAAATTGGTTCTGGCCAAGATCAAGTTTAGTTGATTCCATATCATTGAACCTCACCCTGGGAAGACGAGTTTTCAGCATTTTCTATGGCGTAATTCTTTTGACCTTTAAGAAGTCTTTACGCCAGACAAATTAGCGTGTTCTGGTGATGGACGCCGACACCCAAAACAAGTTTCAGTTCAAGAATCTTCGAAGCATTGACAAAAACATTCGCTTTTTTTTTGGTGTGTTAAAATGACACAACACAAGTCATTCTAAAGCTCATAAGTTAATAAGCGCCTATAACAGAAAATGATGTCCAGATTTGACGGGTTTAATTCATGGTCCCAAGCACAATACAAAAATCTATGTTTATATATTCCAGAAAACAGCAATCAAAGACCCGAGTCGGTATTTAGACTGGTTCCTGGAAACAATTAGACCAAAAAACTAGTTTCGCCCGTGTGATACACGATACATGATAAATGATAATCCAATGAACGACGTAATATTTATGTATTTCTTTTCGGTGGTTTTTCTAAAGCCTACATCGGCAACCTTGCCTTATTGTCTGACGTCTTTGCTTAGCTCTGCGGCTGCCTTTCAACCACAAAAAGCGAGTTGGCCAAAAAATGTAGGTGGGTAGTTGTTGAGCTCGTCTCCATAATTAATGTTAATTCATAATAAAGTTTGAATATGTCAGTGGTCAGATAAAACTCAAATCATAATTTTTCATGTAATAAAATGAAGGTTGTTTTGCCATTTGTTTCAACTTTATACTAATAGGACGTATTATAATTATTATTAACTTCTAGTTTTATTTGGAATTCAGACAGATAATTTTTGGGATGAGGAAACAAAATTCGTGTTAAATAAATTCTCACATGATAACATGAAGGTCATTATCATTATTATTCGAAGAAACGTGTTTTTCTTTTACTGTGTTTTTAATTTACTAGTAATTATCGAGTAATTTACATAATTTAAAAAAAGCTAAAAGCTTGTTATATGTTTTTATGGACTTTTGAAATTATTTTATAAATACTAAAATTATTATAATAATAATAGTTAGTATTGTTAACTTTCTGTTATGATATATAATAATAATAAAATGAAAAAAGAGTGTTATTTTGTGAAAAAATGTGTACGTATCAAACAGCTTATGTATTTAAGACAAAAAGCTTTAGTAATTCAAACTCAACTGCCGATTCAAAAAACTAGAAAATCGTTATTTTGTTTATTTTAAAGTTGTGAAAATCGAAGAAAGATATTTTCATATTTTATAACATAAATAAAGAAATTATTAAAATATCAGATTTTTTAGACTTTTTTTTATTAAATGTAATAAGCAAGTTGTGAGATGAACCCTGGCCATCCCTGAGCACTAGAATGGACAAGCCGTCATAAACTGTCTTAAATTTGTTATATTATATTTTTATTTACTTCCATTAAATATGTAGTAATAAAGGTAAAGCAATTTAAGAACCCTTATCATATCAAAACAATGTTGCTTTTGCCAATTAACTCCTGATATTGTTTTGAAAGTTGCGACTGTCTAGCAAGTTTGGCCAATTACCTACACTTTTAACTTTATTCGACCAGCAGAAAAGTTGCATTTTCTCACCGGCTTTTCAGTTGTTTGTCGAGAGTACTCCAATTCCTCTAGCGTTTTTCTGCAAGTGGCAAAAACTTTTGCCACAGTTAGATATATTTTTTCTAGATATAAGTTTTCAGAAAAGTTTTATTTTCTCTATTACATTGCTTAAATATATTAATAATATATATGTTAAATGTTATATAAATAATGTAATAAATTAATAATAATTTGCAAAATATATATTTTTTGCCTATTTTGACGACGTTATTCGGCTGCCGAATGGCAAACGAACTCTCGAGAGTGTCGTGACTCGGGCAAAGCTTTTCCGTTTATGGTCAACATTGTGTATGGGCAACATTAGAGTGAAAAGCCCACGGCGATTTATGGCAACTCTTAGAACTCAAAGTTGTTCGTCAGAATAAATTATTTGAATTTACAGCGCACCTTATTTGCTGTAATAAACCACCCAACAGTGAATGGAAAATTTTCCCTAAGTAATTTAATAGCTTAATCTCTTTGGCTGTCAGCCAAATTAAGATGCTGCCAGCTCGCTGTTATCATATCAATTCAAAAGTTTTTCCTAGCCTGTCGTGGCCCTCTGAATAGGCGAAAATTTATGAGCATCTTGAGGCAAATTTATGTGGGAACCTCGCAACAACAATCAACAAAAGAACGACAGACCCACAAAACAGGATAACAAAAAAATATATATTAATCGCCTTTGGGCTAAAGTCTAAGGCAGTCATGTGAATGTTGGCGGTACAGTGAAGCCTGTACAGGAAAAGCCTGTTAACGGAAAAAACTACTTTGAATTTAAAATATGGGATTTTCTAGTAAATGAAAAAAGAAGAAAAAATTATTTATAAGAATTTATTTATTCTGGAAAATGGTATTTATTTAATTTCCCTTTTGAATATTTATTATTTCGTAGAAAAACCAATGCGCACATGCCTGGAATGCAATGAATTTTCTCGTCAAACCCATAGTGTTTCCCATGAATTACAATATAAATGCAGTTCAGCGAAAAACCTCTCAATTGTCTATGTTTATCAGCTTCGTTCTGTTTTGGAAAATTGAAATCAATAATCTTCATAAGTGGTTTTCCTTTAACCCAACTCTGGGAGATAGTGGAAAGATAATTATCTACATTATTATCCCCCTTGAATGCCTTGAGTCGTTATGTGAAATCAAGTATACGCCCCATTTGCCTCGCGCCTGTTTCATAAAATCAAGTATACGCTCCTTTACCCCGTTACTTGAGTACTTGAGTGTCAAAGCCAAGTGCATAATGATTCCCGTTCTTAAAATACAAAAAAGATTGTTATAGTTTCAATTAAATGAATTTAACTCATTGAAAAGGCGGCAAAGGTTGATGGAAGGAGAAAAGAGGACTGTGAAGACAGGAAAAGCGAATGGGAAAAATGAAGTTGAGCTCTTGGCATGGCATTGTTTGCTTTGACATGTTGTCAACAAGCGGGAAGCAGTTGCACAATTTTTGTTAAAGCTCCGCTGGGCACATTATGCCTTAAATGTTTGTACAGCACAGGACACATTCCCCCCTCTGCATTATAATCTATGGTTTTAATTTATTTTTTCTAGCTCGCTGTACGCAGTTATTATTATCAATACTTCGTCCCCCCATTGTTTTTGGTTTCCTTTTTATGCAGACCTGGCTGGGAAAATTCCTAGGAATATTCCGAGAAAAAAATCCTTTGCTGTTAGCAGTGCTCCTGGGAAAGGGGCTTTGCGAGGACAATATTAAAAAAATATATATGTTGGGCATAATTAAGGAAAGAAAGGCAAGAAGAGGCGGAACGAAGAATCCCAACTTGGTGCGGACTCTTTAAGGACTACTGTAATTATTGAAGAAAAATGGATGAAAGCAGGAGGTTCTTAGTAAGTTCACCCCTCAGTTCTTATTATTATTCAAATTAGGGGTTTCGAAATGAATGAGAAAAATTATTCTTATGTAAGAGGCTTAGCTCTACCTTTGATATAAGCTAAAGTTTAATGGAAATAAATATGCACTAAGTTTTTTATTTACATGTTTCAGTAGTCAATTCATCATGTAAATATTTATTTAATAAAAAGTGAATATGCTTTTAATTATTTGCCTTGTATTTTTCAGATTAAATAACTTTTGACATTGTTCGCTTTCATTGGGAAATAATTTGAGGAATTAAGGGCTGTAATTACTGCTGACTGGTCGAACGAATTCAAAAGTTAACGACTTTAAAGTACTCTATTTATATAAATATATACATTTACACTATTATAAACATTATTTTCTGATAAAAAAAGAGATCGTAGCATTTTGAAAACCTTATTTAAAATTATGAAAAAAAACCAAATTGATCGTTGAATGAAGCGCAAACCAGCAAACCCCCTGCGAGTGACAATGTTTTATTGCTTGAATGTACACACGCTCGGTTACATGTAAATAAGCATTAAAATAGCTTATGCTCTCATGCATAAATAATTCAATTACATGCGAGTGAGTCTTGAGTGTTGGTATAAAAAATAAATTGCAATTAATGCTCGTCGATACAAAATCAACGGCCCGAACAGGTGCTGAAAATGGCCTTTAATCATAACGTTGAATGTGCGCGGTAAAAGTCAGAGTCCTAGGAGGAGGAGAAGGAGGATATTGCATGCAGGATATACGTTCACATTCACACTTCGCGGGAAACAACACGCATTCGCCGTGTGGGGCGAAGCAGGCCGCAGAATTGAATTGAAAATCTGGGATATGCAGAGGAAAAGCTGGAAAAGCGGTGTAAACGGTACGAGCATGAAAAGCAACAGCAGCAGCAGCTCAGCCAAGTGAAACTCCCTTTCCCGTTTACTTTTGTGCGCGTCCCCGAAATCTGGCTTTGTCCTTTCCCTTGTTCACTTGGCTTCCTTAATGGCTCAGTTGGCTTGGCTGTGTGTGTGTGTGTGTGCTGAGCATTTATGGCAGTCCTTGTCGAAGCTGGCTTTCCCTGGGCTCAGTTTTAGGCAGCTTGCTAAAAATTTATTAGCCCGCTGATTTATTTGTTCAATTGCACGTCGCACGGTTGGCAAGTCACGGCTTGATATGGGTACATGTGCCATTGAAAGGCAATTCTAGTGGCGGGAAGAGAGCATTGAAAGGAGTTTTCAATTTTATTTCATTTCATATTTTTATACAACAATCATTTTTCTTGGTTTTTAATGATTAATTTAATCACAAGGTTTCCATGTTACTCAAGATGTTTATTTTAAATGAATCCCAAAAATAACTACCAAGAGCTTTTACTTTTTAAGTTTTTATTTTTTATAATTATGCCAAACAGACACAAAAGTGACGCAAAGTAATTTCTTCCTAGAAGTGTA